AATGGACATACATTTCCTGGTGATGACTGCAGTGATGATGCTGCAGGTTCAGATGCCTGTGAATGGTTGTGCCCAATTGTGGCGAGTACTCCTGCAGATGTAAGTCCAACTGCGTGACAGTGAGGAGCAGCATGGGCATGAAGTGGGGGAACCGTGAGACAGATCCAAAGAAACTAATGAAATAAGGAAAATCTGGGAATGATTACTTTGAGATTCATTTCCATCAGCCCAGGTCTGATAGCCCCGCCAGGCCTCTCTGTATCTGTGCTCCAGATCCCACAGGAAACTCTGACCAGCATGTTCCAAGCAAAACTTAAAGAAAAAAGTGCTGCCTTGCCCGGTACTTGGCTTGTCGGCCAAATCTTGACCAAATCTTACCGCAGGGAACAGAGGGCCAACATGCATTCTGCATGTGTTCCTACAGAGCTACATCAGCCCCAGAGGCCCAGCCCCTGTTACAGCAAGGTCCCTTCGCTAGCAACAGGAAGGAGTGAGAGATGGATGACCACATCTGCTGAGCTCTCTGTCCTCGCTGTGTGCTGAGGTGGTGGGAGGGAGCTCACACAGCATGAAACTCACTCAGGCCAAAGATCAGTCCAACACTAAGCACCACTTAAGTGCTATTTAAGTGCCTGTAGCAGGCATAAGAGGAACAGAAGAGTCCTCGCAAGAGTGACGGTCATCCTGGTGAACAGCCTGGGTTTATTTCCAAATTATGCTCTGCTTTTGAGCTGCACAGCACTGCTCTCATCCTGCTCACTCCCTACAGTCCTGCTGCTTCCCTCCTTTCTGTGGGCTGTGACAACACTGCAGAAAAGAGTAGACAGTAGGCACAAAACACAGTGTGTGCTCAAGAAGCAACCCAGAGGGACAAGTGGCTCTTCTCCCAGCAGGTATGCCTGTCAGCTTGCCCAGCAACCTCAGATCACACAACAAAGGAGCACGTTACTGTACATTCCCCAGAGCAGCTGGGTGAATGCTACTGAGACAGCCTGAATTGCCATTTTGCAACTTCTAACAGTTGAGACTTCAACTAACATGTAGGTGATATTTTTGCCTTGATGCCTCTCTTTCAGAAAGAGACACAGAATATACTTTGAAAAGCACAGAGTCAAAATGGAGCTCTGTTTACATGAACATCCAGTGTCCACAGTCATCTTTGAGGGTATCTTTCATACCATAAAACACAGCAACATAAGGAAGAAACAAACCTGCTGGGGTACTAGTTTAAAAGAAACAAGTGCCTCCCATTCTGCTGGTTTATTCTGGCTTCACTGTGCCACCAGTGTCCCAAACCCAGTGGAACACAGTGGTGGATTTGACTCAAAAGATAACCGTTTGAAGAGTTTCACAACCTCAGTAAGAGCTGAAACAGTAAGAGCTCTGTGAGTGTGGCCATAAGACCGTAAATGAATGGATGGGTCCAGCAGGAACAACCAGAAATGCTGGACTGGACAGGAGACAGGCAGGTGGAATTGATAAGCTGTGTGACAGATGAGCCTCATTTATGGCAGGTCCTGTCTGATGGAAAAAGATGAATAAAGTTCTCTCCGTTCAAGAGCAGGAGGCAGCCTCTTGAGCAAGCAGAGGCTGGTAATGTAGGCAGCAGTCATTCTGTGTGAGTCTGGTTAGCTAGATGAAGTAAAAAATAAAGCACTTCTTGTCCTTTGGAGATGTCCCCTCCACGTATGAAGCAGACACCACTCGCCTTAGGATATTCCAAACCAAACCATTACATAATCACAGCCTCACGCAGGTTGTGAGGGAGCTCAGGACAATTCTAATTGAACTCCTCCTCGTGACAGGGCCAACGCTTAACATAGAGCGGGTTGCTTTGTCCAGACAGGTCTTGGAAACCTCCAGGGCTGGAGATTCTACCACACCTCTGGGCAGCCTCTTCCTCTCCTGTGTCCTCACAGTGATAAATTGTTTCCTTATACTCAGTCTAAACCTTCCCTGTTCTGATTTACGAGCGCTGCCATGCACTTATGTAAAGAGCCTGGCTCCACCTTCTCAGCAAGCTCCTCACAGGGCGGGCAGGCTGCTGCTGGGTCCCACTGCAACCCCAGATCTGTGTCTGAGCTCCCCTCTGTCCATACTGTCGCACTCCTGCATTAGCTAGCAGACTCTATGCACTCTGCTGGCCCAGGGCCGCCCAGGACCCCCAGCACTTCTTCCCTCCTCTCAGCCAGTGAATGCCAGCCTGTCCCAGCACAGGAGCCGGTCCATCCCAGGAGCGGCAGTCAGTATTGCTTTGCTGCATGTCCTGAAGTTCCTGCTGAGCCATCTCTACAACCTGCCTCTGTTCCTCTGCATGCCAGCCCCCTCAGTTCAGACTTTGTTCCCTGCTTCAAGCACGCAGAATTCGTTGAGGACACATCTACAGAGGTACTGTCCTTACTCCTTCCTTTCTTCTGTCCTTACTACAGTCACAACTTCAGATGAACAGTGCAGATAACCGTTTCTAAAGAAATTAGGTGATTTATAAGAGCGCAAGGGATCAACAAAAGCAAGTCGTTCAGGGCCACGTAATCCATGTGCCAAGGAGCACAGCCTCTGCACTGAGCATCATTCATCCTTTCTTTCTGCTTCTGTTCTGAATAGAAGGAATCATCCCCAGAACAAGCCTCACACAGGCATTTTATGGCCAAAATTCCTGGCTCCTCTAAGAAAAATACTTGCTGAACAATATCTGGAAAAGTTTGCCCATCTATGAAGCAAAGGCACTGGCAACTCTGCGAGCTATTGTGCACGGTGATGCACTGCACAGTTCTGTGTGAAAAGAATTCAGCACATCTCCAGATCCTGGGAGGTTTGTTGGACTTAGCAGGAAAATGTCAGTGTATTCCTCCCTCCTGTGCTGTCATGCAGCAGGGGAACAAAGAGACTGATGCACTATGTTCTGGTGTACTTATCAGCTACAGATTTAGTAGGTGGGAAGCAGCTACAGAATCTCCTCTGCTTATCTGGGAAGGGAAGGCATCTGCCGGACTCTCCCACTCCAGCAGAAGTTAGTGGTTCTGGCAGCAGGGGAGAGATCCACGCAGCGCTCCTTTTTCTAACTGCAAGCTGAGGACAGCAACGGCAGAGCTTCCACACTGGCCGCTGCCTGCCCGTGGTCACGGCACACGGTAAGCACACTGTCCTGGCAGGTGGCACCAGATGGCACTCTTACACAAAGGCTTCTTTTTCTCATGTTCTGTTTGCAGGCAAAAGTTGTGTTTGAACTACAAGGAGGGACCATCTATATGGGTAAGGGTTTTCCTGCCTTCTGCTTGCAGCCTGTGTTGCACGGAGGTCAAAGGAGTGGTGCCAAGACAGGGTATTGTCACGGAGGTAAGAGGATAAGCGGTCCTGGTGCAAAGCACTCCAGGTTCAGCACAGCTGCACCCACAAGGGCTGCACAGCACACAGGGAAAGCACAAAACTCTGACCCACTCGGAGCAGACAGGGCCTTGCACGGCTCCACTGCTGCCGCTCCCAGGCACGGCACTGCCTTGCAGTAGGAGCTGGTGAGGCCCCTGGGAGACGGGGCTGCCTGTGTAATCTCTTTCCCAGACCCAATACATCTCCACACCCCAGTGCACTGCACTTCACATCTATGCAAATTCTGCATCTCTACTTTCTTCTCCACGTCCGAGTCAGAGCAAAAGGATTTGGCTATCTTATGTGCAGCAGAGCAAAAGTGGAGTTACCCAAGGGCTACAGCCCTCCCTTCCCCACCTCCTGCAGCAGTGCTGTGGTGCTGGCATCCCCCATCGGGATGTCCTCGGGGATGCTCAGAGCTGTAAGGGAACAAGGGAGGATGCTCCCCATCTCACACCGACCACCCGAGCACTGGGGTCCTTCCTCTCCTGCCCCAGGGCTGAGGGGCGGCAGATCTGCAACAGGAGCTCAGTGGAACAGCACAGCTCCCATCGCTCAGCAGGGCAGCGAGGGAGAGAGCTGGGGGGTTTGGGGCTCGCAGGGCTCCTCGGGGAGGCCGGGCAGCTTCCTTAGAGGTGAACAGTGCTTCTTTGGTTTCTTGGGACTGGCAGCAGCTCTTCCTCCTAAGTCACTCTTCCTCTCGCTCTGCTCTCTAAAGCAAATCGTCCCAGCCCTAACGCCGGGACGGGGACGCTTTGTCTCCCCGACGCTTCTCTGCCCAAGAAGTTGGGAGCACACGGGAGGGAGGACCCCGTCTCCCGTTGCCCCGCCGTTACTCCAGCGCTGCCCCATCCGAGCCCCCCCGGCCGCGCTCCATCCGCCCCGCCCCGCACGCTTCTCCCCGAGGCCTGAGCGCGCCGTCAGGGCAAATAAGGCGGAAAAAAAGAAAGCCGAACGAGCGCCGAGGGCTGGCAGCGGGCTCTCGGGGCGGGCACCCCGGGCTGGCCGCCGCCGGGCAGCGCGCCTTACCACATTGCTGAGGAAATCCGCCTCGCTGAAGTCGCCCAGGTCGAGGAAGCCGGGGCCGGCGGCGGGGAAGAGCCGCTCGGCGGCGAAGGGCTCCAGGATACTGTCCATGGTGCCCGCGGCGCGGGGCTCCGCCGCTCCCCGGCCGGGCTCACAGCGGCGGCACGGTCCCGCCGCCCAACGGCCGGCGGTCCATGGATGGGGCGGCGGGGCCGGGTGGGAGCGGGCCGCCCGCGGGCAGGGGAGCGCCGGGAGCGCCGCGCCGGTGCCCGCTCGGGGCAGCTGTCAGTGCCCCGCTGCGCTGGGGCCGGGCGGGCAGCGCCGGCGGCCGGCAGCGGCACGCCCCCGCCCCGTGCTGGGGAACCGCGGGCGGGACTTCGCGGGCCCACACCCCTTAAGGCAGCGCGGCGGCGGCGGCGGGCAGCGCTCCCCTTCCTTCGCGCCGGGCAGAGCCGCGGGGAGCGGTCCGAAAGCCCCTGGGGGCGGCGCGGTGCCCCAGGTGGGCCCGGCTGTGCCGCCCGCTCGGTAACTAAGGAGCTGGGCACCAGTAAAGAGCTTCGGGAAGATTATGTGGCTTCGGATAAATGGGATTACGGATCCCCATCCTCTCTGATCCTTACTCGGACCAGTGCTCAGGAAAACCACTTAGAATGATCGCGCAGAAGAAGCCTCGACGTTTCGTTGATCTGCCCCTGCTTCCGTGGCTCCACACGATGGGTCCCACTGCTTCTTGGCAGTGGGTGTGCGGAGCAAGAAGTCGGGCAGCAGTGCTGTGCTGCTGGCAGAGACCCGTTGGGAAAGGCCACGGTGCAGACACGCAGGCCTGGCCAGGCCCCAGTGTTCCCCACGCACAGCCATCACAGGCTCTGTGTCCCCATGCGTCCCAGCACAGCCCTGGGCACACCTTGGCTGCTCCTCATTGCATCGGCCACACGCTGCTCCCGCACACAAAGGCCTTTATGCTCGCGCACACAATGGGCTCTTTCAGTTGCATTTACTTTTACCTTATGTTTCAGTCAAGTGTGAAGAGCCTCTGGGTGAAAGGGGTCAAAGACATAAATTCAGCCAGGATGGGGTTGTGCTGCTCTTCCCACGGTACACATTCTTACGTATACGAAGGAGGAATGGTGTTTGGAAACCATCTACACAGAATGGACACTGGGAGCTCTTCCACGAGGGCCATTTGCTGCAGACGTTCTGGCTTTGAGGGAGATGCTCCCACCTCCTGTCCTGAGCTGAACACGTATAGCACCTCAGTCACCCACTATGTCTCAACTGAGCAAACATGGGAAGGCTCTCCTCAAATGACAGAGGGATCAGGCTGCTGTGGTCTAAGGAGAAGTGCACGCGCCAGCATCTTTGTGGCATTCAGGCAGCTGCAGGATGACCACCATCATCTCTTCATTGCCATACTGTGGGTAAAAATGGTAGCAGGCTTGCTCCTCAGCAAAAAAACTTCAGTTCAAGTCACAGGAACCTCCCCCCCCTTGAGGAAGAATGAGGTGCTGGGATGCAGCAATGCATCCCTTGTCAGAGCACCCTTTATGAGCACATCTTGCAACTGCCTCTTGTCCACAGGTGAGGCTGATCCGGAGGCAGCCCAGGGCAAAGGTGGCACCATGTAGTGGCTCAGGCTCCTTTTCAGCCCAATTTGCCTCTGATTTTATACTTAGATTTAGTTGCAATCTGACTGCAGCAGGAAACTGAAGCAGCAGCTGGGTGTGCTTTGACAGATAGAGTCTCAAACCAACAGCAGATAAGCTTTCTTGCTATAAGGCATTTGGTGTTGCGGATGCATGTGGATGACCAAGAGAGCCTTATCACTGCTGATAAGAGACTGATCAACCCAGTTCCTAAAACAAAATCATCCGCTCCCCTGTGCTCCTTGCCTTGCCGCAAACCAGGCACTGCACAGCCTGCAAAGCCAAAGCTGTTGCTTCCTCCAGAGCGAGCCAGGACGTTTCACAAATTCACAGATGAGTGTTTCTTGAGGAATGTGGGGCAAACTGTATACGTCAGTAGTTTTTGCTTTGCTGCATGCACAGAGCTTTGCTACAGGAGGGGTTCTGGCTGGTGTTCTCACAGAGTGCATGGTGAAGATGGGAACAGGACAAGGCACAGCAGTACTAAACAGCCCTGCAGGACACAGAAGCTACAGACCCAGTGCTCAGGCTATGATTTCTTCATTTAGTTTCTGTGGGAACAATTTAAAGCCTGTGAAAAAGTGATGGCACGAAGTGGAGTCTGGAAAAGTCACCTTCTAGCAAGAGGCAGCAGTTGAGGAAGGATTCATGGGTGCTGGAGCTGCCCCTTGCCCTTCATCCCACAGCCCCACCTCAGCCAGGAGATCCAGCTCTATTTGGGTTCCCTTCCAGCAGTAGATCCCAGCACTGCATCCTGCAGCTGCTCCCAGCCCTAACCAGGCACCTGCACACCGCTGCTGCTGGTGATGGGAATCACACCCAGCGCAGCCATCTGCAGCAGGGAATGGGTGTCTGTGACCCTGTTGCAGGGAAGTGCAGGGGAAGATGAAGAGCTTACCAATTGTGTTTGCATACGGTTGGGATACATGAATGCTGTGGTTTCTGTGAGCACCCTGGCGCTGTGCAGGGAATGACAGGGATGCTGCAGAGCTTGGTGCTGTAGTTATCCTTTCTGGGTGGACTCGAGGCCCTTGGAGAGGTCCCAGCCTGCTGTCTGAGCCAGGAGCAGCAGGTGGGGACTGGAAATTCAGGACCTGGGAACAGGCAACAGGAGGCATTTGGGGCATGTGAATAACTGTGGGTGCTCACACCATGGCCGTGTGGAATAGGACAGGCTGCAGCAGCAGCAGGGCTGTGCTGGGAGCAGGGACAGCATCTCCACCCTGCCAGGGGTTAACAGTGAGCTCTGGATCTGGGAGCAGCCCACGGAGGAGAAAAGCACAACCCAGTAATTCAGGCACATCTCACTCCAGTTCAAATGACATTGTTTCAGTCCTGTCTGCCTCACCCCTCAGTGGTAATTACAGACTTTCACAAACGGGGAATGAGGGACACGGCGGAGGAAGCCTTCATTACAGGCTTATCTCCCAGAGCAAAAGTGCGCCCGGCGTAATGTCTGGGGCACGCTGCCAGGGTCGACCACCAAAGCAAAATGCTTCCATTTAGCACAAAAATAAAAGGGGGAGAAGTGTTAAGTGGTTTGGGAAGATCAGAACCTCACAGCACTGCTGCCAGGCTTGGGGAGCGCTCTGGAGGAGCTGGCAAGCTGCCCTGGTCCGAAGTGCTGTGGTTTACATCCCTTCCTTCCTTCCCTCCTTCCTTCCTCCCATCCTCCTCAGGCAAGCTTCATGGCCACTGGTGGTGGCACAAGGGTGTGCACGTGGAGCGGGTCCCAGCAGGGAACCCAGAGCCTGCTCCTGCTGTGAAGGTGGCACCTCGTTTCCACAGGACCTGGGGCTTGCATCAGGAAGGTCCTTCAGGCTGCAAGGCACTGTCCCCACACAGCTAACGGCAGGAGAGGAGGGAGAGGCGACAGAAAGCCTTCAGTCTGATTGCTGTTAGGATGCGTCTGGGGACCGAATTTTAATTGTTCCTTCCCGCTGGGTGAGCGAGCACAGGAAGAGATTTACCTCCTGGCCTTTCCACTTGGGCATGTTGACATTTCCAGGCGGCAGTTTTCTCTGATGGAGCGCTTTGACGTCAGGTGGGCTGATTACAGCCTGCGGTGCCTCTGACTCATTTGGCGACGGTCTGTGTGGGGGACCTGGAACGTGCCTCTCTCTCTCTATCGCTTGTTATGGTCGGCTTTAAATAAATAAAGCCGAGCTCGGCTCACAACTTCGGGGAGATGCTGTGCTGCTCAGCCTGAAGCACTCATTGCCATGGCAACAGATGCAGAAATGTCGCTACGCAGCCAGCTCCCCTGCCCCGCTCCTGCCTGCCTTGAAGGGTCCAAACAGGAGCAGAGTGTGCCTGTGGGCAGCCACGCTGGGGAGAGCCTCCTCAGGGGGTCGGGAGCCCACTGCTCACATCTCTGGTGTCTCCAGGAACGGGAGATTTGGGGTTGGATGGCAGATAGGATAACAGCATTCCTAGATCTGTTTCCTTCTCCAGGCGCTGCGGGACATCCAGGATATTTCCTACATTGCAGTGTCCTGGGATGCTGGGAATGTGGGAGATCCTCACCTTCCCTGCACTCTCCTTGGGTGACTTCTGGTGGTGGCAGAGGACAGGCTGGAAGCACTCTGCTGGCCACGATGCAGGCATAAGAAACCACTGCTCGCTGGTTTCAACCCTCTTATTTTTAGACCACCCTCAGCGCCCGAGCCACGGATGACAGATTTCACTTTGGGGGCACACTGCAGGGAAGCATTCAGCCCCCAGGTTGAGGTACGGTCACACCAGTGTTTCAGCTTCCAGCTTCCAGCTGGCGAAGCAGCAATTCCAGGGTGAGCAGCCAGTGGCAGATTGAAGCAGCAAAGGCTCACATCCCACTGGAGCCTTCAGAAGGGCAGAATACACCTCAAGCCAAACATCCCATCTCCTAACACAGATCTGTAGGACTAGAGAACGTTTGTTATGTTAATCCTCGTCGTGCAGGTTTAATGCTTCTCCGGCTGGGGTGCTGAGTTTGTTTGCTGCCACAGATGGTTTGAAAGTAACCTCACCTCCTGCTGTTGCCGCACCGTGTCACATCGGGGAAGTTAAAAACATGAGAAGGGTTGGAACATGTGAAACATTTTTATGACTGCAAAGATTGAACCACATTTCCATGACAAATCACTGAAATTTGAGCAATCTAATTTACAACACAAATTCCTTTCTTTTGTGCGTCTTTCCCAACTCAAATTCAAGTCAGAAACTCCCTGGGCTCTGCTGCAGCTCTCATCTAGCAAAACTGTGGGTGTAAGATGAAAAACAATTGCATGAGGTCTCCATGGCTGGTCCATGATGACTCCAAACCCTAAATTGTTCATCCTTAAAGCATGGTTTACGACTGCAACAGATTCTGGAGGAGCTGTGTAACCAGTACTTAAATAAAGGGGAGGCAGCGAGCCCTCCTGCAGCAGTGGTATTTGTTCTGGGAAGGGCTGACCCAGGGTGGCCACAGCAAGAAGGTAGAGAAACCCACTGTCTCCTCCTAGAAACAGAATTGAAGGTCACAAAGTAAAGACCCCTGCAGCCACTGCTGGCCTCCGATTAAAAATAAATCCCTTTCATGGCCAGACAGTGGTTTGGGAAGGGGAAATGCTGAACGGCAGTGAAAACCTGAATTTTTTGGCTGGGTGTCCTGCAAAGCAAGCACAAGTGCCATTGGTTCGGGTACAGCTCTATACTCCTGGCCACTGGCATGCATGTACAGGTGTGCTCCCTCCTTTTAGATTTAACTTTTTCACAGTAAAACAAGCCTGATTTTCATGGTACATTTATCTGAGAGCAAATGTGAGAGTGACTCAGTCCTTGGAATTACAGAGATGAGAAGTTGCCTAGTTTTCTATCCGTGCCACCTCTGGATCCAGGAAAATCACAGACCTCTGTGGGCTTCTGCTGCTTTGCCCCACCTTATGATTATTGTTAGTTCCAGGTAATGGGGACTGCCACTGTCTTGCCAGAATGACAAACCAACCAAACAGAACAAAGGTTCCCCTACCCCCTGCATTGCCCCTTCAGGTGCAGCACACAGCAGAACCAGACACTTAGGAGGCTCATTTCTGCCCTTCCATGGCACCAGAGGAAATATGGGTACCCACCCGTGGGAGTCATCCCTTCCTCACAGCAGGCTGCCGTCCGCTGCTCCTTGACCAGATACCAGCAGATTATTTTTGTCTTGGCTCACGTAGTCCCAATGTTACAATTACCCACTGACCTCAAACACTTACTTTTAAAATTACCCCTCTTTAGCAAACCCTCTGTCTAGTGGGTTGGGTGGTTTTTTATTTTTTATTTTTATGTCTAAATGGTTAAATAGTGGGTGTGGTTGAGGAGAGAGAAAAGAAGAAAGCTTGCAGAGCAGGCAGGAGGGGGAGGGCTGTGAGGGTCTTAGCATGGAGAAGCCCACACACTCCATAGAGGGGACACAAGGCTTCCTCTCCTTCCTCAGTAACATCTTCTTCTGCAGGGTCAGGTTTCCTCAATGACAAATATCATTTCATAGTGGTCTCTATTCCTCATAGGTATGCCTTGAGACTAATTCCAGCAGCCGTGGCATAACCCAGATAATCAGAGCAGCATCCTTTGGATGTGGTGTGAAAGTCAGGACTTGTCTGTAAGCTGATGTTGAACATAATAATAAAAAAAAAACAGGCCAGCAACTCCAAAGCACTCAATGCCTGAAGACAAACACAGGTGGGGAGAGACAGCCATGACTACAAAGTTGAGTTCACCATGCAGGAGAGATGTCAGTCATCCATGGCTTAATGTTCTATTAAATTGTTCGCAAAGCTTCTCAGAACACACAGAAACCTCTTCAGGAGGGAAAGAGGAGGCATCTCGTTCAGGGATGGAGAACATGAGGGAACAGGACACCAGTCTTTGTAGTGATGGAAAAAAAGGGGAAGCAGCTGATAGGAGAACGCACAATTCCTCACAACCAGAACACTCATGAAGCTCCTTCTGGTTACTGCGTGCTAGGGCTTTCCCTCCATGCTCTTACTAGCCTCAAAGCCCAGCTGAACTGGCATAAGTCTCATGAGAACCACTGTGAAAGTTAAGGCGCTAAGCAGCATGAAGAGCTTCAGCTGGACTGGTTTTGAAAGCCAGCCTTCAACTACATTCTGTCACCTGGCCAGCAGTTTATTAGGGTCACACATCACCAACAAAAAGCTGAAGTCAGTGCTGGTAGAGGAAGCCTACCAGCAGTGCCCTGAGCTGTAGGTGTTTATAATGGGACCTGCTGCTCAGGGTGTGTTCTGCTCTGTGCTACTGAGGATCTGGGTAAGGCTGAGAGGCAGAAGGTGGATCTGGATGCTGTTGGACTGGAATGATCTCAGAGTTTTTTTTGTGAGGTAGGTGGTTTAGGATGGGGGGGATGCTTCAGGAAGGAATGCTCCTCTCACCTTTTTTTTCCTGCTACTTCCTGGGGGCACAGCATCTTTTCCCTTTTGCTTTTTGAATAATGTGGTGTGTGTTACCCAGCGTTGCTGTGGAGCTGCCAGCTGTAATGGCCACATCTCACTGCAGATAAACAGATTTTTGCTTTGGGTTAGTTTTTTTTTTAGTCTTTTTTGAGAAATGTGAAGCTGAAAGGGGTTTGATGCCTGCTGGGACTGCTTATGGGTTGGTTAGCACAGCCTAGGTTGGGGCAGAAAGGAGTATCAGAGTTTTAATTCAGCAATACCTTTAAATGGTGGCACACAGTGATGATGAAAGGGCATGTGAGGATGCAACTCTTCTCTCATTTGGCTTTAAGCAGCCAAATCCACCTAGCAGCATTCATTGAGAAGTGTTTGTTTCACTAGTTACTTACTGCAAGGCAGCAATCAGAGATATTCATCTCTGAAATAAAATAAAAAAAAATCTCTTCGCTCTTCTAATGAGCTCTGGTAAATTTGCTCCCTTTTGTAGTCCTGGGGTCAATCAATTAGTGACTGCCTAGGGAGAAGCTTAATTAAGCTCAGATAACGTAACAGAAGTTTCACCCCCTTGCCCTCCGTCTATACGTATCCTCCTTTACACATCTGGATAAAAGCTTCATTGCAAAGCCGGGAGAGCCATCGCTTCAAGCTGCGTCCCAGAGAGCACGTCTGAGCTCCCGAAAACCATTGCAAACTCTTGCATCATGCAGAAGCAGGGGAAGCCGGAGCAGCTGGGAAGTGAGAAGATCCATTCTGGCAGCTGTGCCACAGGGACAGGGCGTCACTCAGAACAACAAAAGGTGTTGGCAGCAAGAAGTGCGGTGCCACGATTTCTTCTCCCTCTCGCAGAGGCAGAATTTCTTCCCGTGAGCCCTGCGCCAGCCATTCAGAAGTAGCCTGAAATCTGGCTCCAGCTGCACGCCTTTATTAATGACAGAAGCCCTCGAGGGGTGGGATCCAGAGGCATCACAGAGATATTTTTTTTTCCCCTTTCCTAAGCACAAAAGACAGAAGTGGAATGCAGCTGAGGAATGTTTTGCCCTTGGAAGGGATGTAATAAATCTCGTTGGATGTGATATTTGGTTTATTTTGCGGGAGTCATTCAAAAGGAAAATGCAGATTGTGGGGCTTAGTGCTCAGCCTATGCTGGCAAAGGATCTCCAACAAAGAATGTTCATTGGCAGGGAATGTCCTGACTTTGCAAGTGAGAAAACGCCTCTTTTTCAGTCACTCTAAAAGCTGTCTTGTTATTATATAAAAGGTTGCAAGACTGTGATCGATTGCTCTCCAGATCCGCTAGGAGAAGGACAAGCAGTAATTGCTCTAATCTGCAGGAGAAAGGGTTTGGGCTGCGCTCAGGAAAGCTCTTTCTTCCCAGGAAGGTCTGCTGGGTCGCAGGGGGCTGCTGGGGAGGCTGAGCATCCCGGTCTGAAGCAGCACGGCTTTCTCTGGGTGACTTCACCTCGAGATGGGAGGGAAGATGGCTTCAAAGACTTCAAGTCCCTGCCAGCCCTCAGTGATTATTTCTGCGTGATTATTATTTAACAGTGAGGTGCTCCCTTTGGGATCCGAAGGATTCTTCCCATGCTGAAAATTGCTGAATCTGAGGATAGGTCAGCAGGTACCTAGGGAAGGGAAGAGGTGAGGGAAAAGCTGATAGGAAGGAATTGATGTGCAGATGGACTTGATTTACTGCAGAAGCGAGGCAAAGAAAAAGCCCAAAGGTGACTGTAAAGTAAAGCTGGGCTCCCTGACAGAGAAGGGCAGGGAAGAGATTATGTCTGCAACCTCCTGTCTCTTGGTGAACTCCTTGGAGAGGTCACAGTGGAGGCCAGGCGGATGGCATAAACCATTTGGGAACCCTAAACCAGGATTAAAGGGACGTGGTGGAAGAGAAGCAGACTGCATGGAGCCAACCTCAGCTGTCTGCCACAGCTCCACCACGAAGGGAACCGCTTTGCTGGAAGGTGGGGGGTGGCGAGCTGATACTTAGCCATTGGTTGCACACGAGCTATTTTTAAATAGCATAGGTTTGGTTACTGCCAGTGGCACTAATCCAGCTTGTAAAAATCCTAAAGCCCTTCTACCTACCTGCCTGAAGAGCTGTGGGATGTTCTAAGTAGGAGAGCTGCAGTAAGTGGGGTCCCAACACAGCTTGGAGTGCAGTGCAGCCCAGGATGTGCCCTGTTAACTGCAGTTCAGTGGTGGCACTACCAATACAGTCACAGCTGCGCCAGCTCCTCTCTCTGTGCTTTAACCCACTGGGAATTCCCCTTTCTCGTGTGTTTGTGAGGAGAGATGAAAAAAAGGATACTCTTATCAAGGAGATGCTTGCAAAGATTCTAACTTCCTAGAACAGGAAGTGCGTGTTTGCAGAGCTCAGTGTTGGGACTAAGGCCACGTGATATATTTTTAAGAGCTCTTCAGGTTGTTGTCCACCATTGTCACCTTCTGGAAGGAATATGTTTTCAGTGTCTCCTTTCTTGTTGGGAACACAAGTATCTTCTGTTTTGCTCCCTGTGCTCTCATATGGAGAGGAGGCAGCTGTGCATGCAACTGACCTTATCAAGAAGTCAGCAGCCATGAGTTATTACCTGAGCTGGGCTAAGCACTTTGCTGTTATCATTGCTATTGATTATTCATTTAGAGAGAGTTGCAAATTTACACAGTGCTTAATAAACAACACCAAGTTTCCTGGAAAGTAGTAACAGGAGAATTGGGAGGCCTTTCTTAAAACAAAACAAAAAACCTACAAACACGCCACCAAATAATGATTACATCATACGTTATTTTTTCCACTACAGCTAAAGCCTCGTTCAGGATCAGAGGAGCTTCACAAGCACACTGGGATGTTATGAGAACAAATGGACCTAACACCCTCCCAGACTGAATGGCATTTTTATGCTGCTTATCGCGCTGACCTAATTCAAACTTCTGGACAGTCAAGTTTGAAATGAGCTGCCTGAGAGCAAACCAGCTCAAGGCCTTGGATTCTGTTCTTGCTGTGCCACTTAGAATTGCACCCATGTTTTTTTCAGAGCAGCAGCGTTTTTCTCCAGCAAGAGTGGAGAAAAATGCTGCTCCCTGGCTGGGAGTCTCAGGCTGAAACATGGGAAGTGTGGTTTGGACTGAGACACCTGGGAGCAGGGAAGTCCTGCAGTGTGAGATAGGCAAATTAATTCTCTTAGGGCGTGGCACCATTACAGCACAACGTTTTTGAGTCCTGGCTAAATTATTTGTTCAACATCCTAAAAATGAAAACCTTTTGGCTGAAGTCTTTGTAGGTGTTTTAAGAGAGTGGTGAAATTGCGACTAATGTTTGGAAGGAACTCGGGTAAGAGAAAACAAACTGTAGAGGGTAATTTTTAGGAAAAACAAAAAGGTTTCCAATGCAGACATGATGCGCCAAAGCTGTGCTACAGCAGGAGCTCTGACAGGAATTGTGGATATCTTTTCTCTCGGTGTGGGAATATCCTCCAGGAGTTTGAGTTCCCCACCAAAGCCCTGTTTTTAGCTCACTGCAAGTCACTGAAGCTCTGCCACTCTTCATTGATGGCTTCTGCTCCAGAGCTGCGAATCGAGGTGCCTGCTCATGCTGTTTACACTGGCAGCTATGGATGTCGTACTGGTAGACGCAGGGCGGGGCTGAGTGTGCCTGGGCCCTCCTCACACCGCTTCTCCCTGTCCTCTAGAGGCTGGCATGGATGAACAGGACAGCCTTGGAAAATATTAGCGTCTCGCAGTGAGTGCTGGTTCTAAGATGTGCCCAAAGGAAGCCAGCCTGCGCTCAGGGAAATGGCCAGGCAGCCGGGTGAAACTCTCTGGGCTCTATATTTGGAACAAAGAAGGAAACTCTGAGTACACAGCATCTTAGCCCACTCTGCCCAGTTCTAATGATGATCGTATAGGAAATAAATATCCTTCTAAATAATTTTGTTCCTCCATATGCTACTCTGGGCGTTAACAAAGCAGCCATGCAGGCTAAGCCAGGCTGGTTCTGCTGAGCGTGGTGCTACTGTGGAGTCCTTGCATGCATTCTCCACAGAACGTCTCAACCTCGCTTTAACCCACCACTGCTCCATCTGTGCATCTCGGTGCATTTGCCAGCCACGCATCATGTGGTTCAATCTCATCTCTGAGATTTTCCACACGGGCCAGTAGGTATCAGAGTCTGAGTTATTTTCAGCCTGTCTGCGACATCCAATTCCACCCACGCGGCTTGTGTGGCTATATAAATGGTGGAGGTGTCTGAAATAACAGGCCTGGAGGAAACATCTGTCAGCTCCGAAGGCTTGTGAGAGCAGGACGAGGCGTGCAGCTCCCCGTCTCACTGCGCCTTCCTCTGCCTGTAAGGAAGCAGAGCAGGACGAGGCTCTGTCACATGGCCCAACTGCCTCAGCACTCAGGTTTTCAAGTCGCCTTCGTGATTCGTTTGGCCTGTGGAGGTAAAGCCTGCCTGGAAATCAGGATGGCACCTTAACCTTTATCCTCTGAAGGAAAGGACTGCTTCTCTTCCTTCTTTCTTTGTATTTTCACTGCAAAACGGCATCTCTTCATCAAAACCACAGAGCTAGCTGTGCAGGGGCCGACAGGCTGCTCTGTTCGGAAACCTGTCCCTGCGCTCTCCGTCGTAGCGAAAACAGCACGCGCACAGCGGCCAGCAGCAGGAGCCATCTTGCAGCGCTGCACTCGCCGCGGGGCGCTGACGCAGACGGGACGCGGCAGCGCGCAGGCACGCATGGCCAGGCACGGCCTGGAGACGCGGCGCCCCCTGGCGGTCGGAGGTCGGTACCGCAGCCTTCTAGGACTCGTGCGGGGCGGCTCTGCCTCGCCGCCGCCAGGGGGCGCCCCCGGCACGGCCATGGAGATGGCGGCCGGGCGGAGGGCGGGGCTGGGTGCGCCGCCATCATCGCGGCTCGGGTCTGGGCGGGGGTCTCTTCCCTCTGGTGACAGCGGCAGGACCTTGGAGATGCGCCAGGGAAGGGTCAGGTTGGGTGTTAGGAAAATGTTCTTTTCCAGAGGGCGGCGAGGAGCTGGCAGAGCTGCCCAGAGAGCTGTGGGTGCCCCATCAAGGCCAGGTTGGCTGGCGCCCTGGCAGCTGAGCTGGTGGGTGGCAGTCCTGCCCGTGGCACGAGGTGGGACTGCATGGGCTGTAGGGCCCCTCCAACCCAAGCTCGTCTGTGGTTCTGCGATTGTGTGAACCTTCCCCTTGTATTTAAAGATCAAAAACAACAGAAGCCAGCTGAGTAAAGCTGCCCCGGGTGGTGCCCAAACACTGCTGGGTACAGAAACAGATGTAAGCGTGGAAGAAAACCTTGAAGGAACAGATAACCGAGGACACCAATTAGCTCTCCAGGAGGTTTCGCGTTTGTTACCTGGGAAAGCTGTCGCTAACTCAGGTGTAGCAGTAATAAGCAGTGCAGAGCTAGTTTTAGTTGACATCTTGGATGCTAACAGGTGTAGAAGAGCAGCTACAGCCTTGCTGAGGGGCTGGGGAAAGGCCCGGGCGCTGAGCCCCAGTAGCCATGGCCGTACTGGTAGGAGCTCCTCGCTGGCAGCTGGCTCCGGTACGTCTCCAATGCTCCGACAGCAATGTGACCATGCGGTGAGAAGCACTCCTGCTCGCTGTGCACCATTATGTTGATGGTGTCGTGTCATCTGTTCCCTGCAGGAGCCTAAGGCTGCAGTGCAGGAGGATGGGATAAGCGAGGAATTCATTCTTTCCACTTCTGTAGTCTTTTGAGTCATGTTCTGAATAGTATCGAACAGCTATCTTTTGCAAAACCACCTACTCTTTTAAAATGAAATCTAAACAGAGCTTGGAAATAGAAGATAAGTGTGGAATTAATCTAGTTTCCGCAAGTTTGTTCCCCACCATTGTGAAAAACAGGCTTTATGGGAGGGTTGTAGAAGGTGAGTAAGAGGAAAGCTCTATATTCCAGAAGTGATCAACCTTGTAGTAGGTAATGGATGATTGTAAGAACACAGAAGCTTTCACAGACATGAATGTTCTTGGTGGCAGCAGACCGAACTGGCTAATACGTACGCAGTTGGCAACGCGTTGTGTGCAGCAGCAGATCATCTGAGTCGTACGGAGGGAAGAAGGAGGTGCATAAGGACATCCTCACAGGTTCTTCGTGTGCATGAGAGCTGGTTGCCAGTGCCAATGCATTGTCTGTATCTTTAATGATTTATCTTTGATGTGAGCTCACCACCTGCTTGGATCTGCTGTTTCTGCATTGAAGACATTTCTTGGGCTGCCAACTTGTCTCCAGATCATACAGAGGGAGCAAATTCTACACAGACAGGAGCGGGGAGGATCAGTGAAGAATCTGTATGCTAGTGCTAAGTTATGAAAGATCACGAGGAGAAGGGGTTCAAAATGTGCCAGCAGAGCTTAGTGGGCTAAGTTTGTGTATTGCATTTGGTGGGAGCTAAACTGAAAGCAGTCTGTGAACTGAAATATTAAGGACAAAAATACGAAGGATTGGTAAGGACAACACGGGCTGAGCTGTTCAAGCCATGGAAGGTGGGCAGAACTTTCCCAGCCACTGCCGAGTGCCCACCTGCAGCTCAGTGCAGCAGGCAGAGTACTGGACTTGGAAAACTTCCTGATGCACTCAAGTCTGAAGTCCGAATCACGGACGCGCAAACTTGCTGTGCAATAGAATGAACCAGGAAGCTTTTAATGGTCGGTTTATCCTGGAACAGCTCGCCAAACACGATATCCCTTTTAACAGATATTTATTTCACAGGCACTTTTTTACTGCCTTGTGGCTCATATTTATTTAAAGGGGGAAATAACTGGATTACCAACTAGTTCTTCAAAAGATACTAAGTTCAAACCAATTACACTCATTAAATACAAAGATCCCACTGAGCTCTGGTGACTGCTGATTTTGATTTGCTTAGAAAGGTGTCAAAATCAGAGTCTGGGGATACTTAGCCCTATTTTTTGCTGTCTGCCACGGTGCCTAATTACTGTTTCTGATACTATCATCTGCTTTAACACACAAATTCCCTCAAACAGCAGTAGTCCCTAATATATCCCTCTTATATTCCCATCTTCTTGGCCACATATTGCTTACTGTGCTAAGTGCTAAATGGCTTTCGGAAAGTGCTAAGAGGGTGCTGTGAAAGGACTAAGCTGAGTTTCACAAGCAACTGCCTGCACAGAGAAATAGTGTTATTAGGGAGGGTGGTGCCAGCAGGCCAGTGTGGGCTTATTCTGACAAATCTGAAGAGCCAAACTTCACGGTCGTGTTCTTCGGATGATTTAAATGAGACATTTTCACCTTGAAGAAATGAAGGTTTTTGTTCCTAACTGAAATAAAACAACTGGATACTTCATCAGAAATATTCAACAGGATCAGTATGTTCCAGGTCAAGTTCATCTGCTCTGCCATCTCTACCAGAAACCAACTCAGCGCTCGATAATTCTCAGAACGGAAAAACGATTCTTGGAAGATGATGGGAACAAAGCCCCAGAGCTAGAAAAGGAACATTGTTTCTTAAGCTCCAGCCAATCTCAGGAAAACAAAAAACAACCCAGCCACAAAGGTACTAGATCTCCACGACAATTCAAATGTTCCTTGACTAAACACAATTGTGTGGGCATTTGCAGAAAGAGTGTAAAACAGATCAATATTTGTTATCTTCTTCAACACGTGGCGGCATGTCGGGGCCGGTGTATGAGCTTCAGCCTACGAGTGGAAGGGTAGCATCACAATATGAGAAGCCAATTAATTGCAAGAGAATCTCAAAAATGCTGTGTGCACTGAGTCTTTCTGGAGAATCAGTTCCCTGGATGAAACTGCTCAATCTGTGGTCTTGTGTTGTTTCTCTGCTTACGTATCAGAGTGCTTAACTGTTGGAAGATGCACTCCCTTGAATTGTGATCACAAGACACCTCTTTGATGTGTCAGTTACTGTTACTTAAGGGATCTCTGCTTTGTTGGGCTATAGCAAATTTTTCAGTCTGGTGAGTGCTGATGTGGACTGGTATCTGGCCTTAGTGAGCAGTCACACTGCTGCTAATGGATGAAGTTAATTCAGAAGGTCTGAAATAAAATCTGTTTTCAGTTAGTGAGTATTTTGTTAATTCTATAGGGTGCTTCAGATATGATCATTTTCTGCGTGAAAGTGATGTATCATGAACATTGATGGCTGCTTTGCTAACTTTTAATTTTGCAATTTTTGCAAAACTACAGGTTAGATGCTAGTTAATGTGGTTAAATCAATGGAATGAATTGCTTCTTTCTTCTTTTTTGCTCTAGCAACACACTTTGAAAGCACTTATTCTCTTAAGAATAATAGCATCCGTAACTGTTTTACCTAACTATTGGAGTTCTGAAATGTGCTTATTACAAAAAAAAAAGGGCCACAGAATATGTTTTATCTCCCATCTAGTAGTTATCATCTGTAGGCCTGTGGGTTATTTATAAGGAAAGTTAGTTTAAGTTATTCATATGGAAAAGCCAGAATCGTGATCTCATTTTATTGTTGGAGATGCTGTGATGCAGGGGCAGGTGAAACGATTTCCCCACAGTGTCATGCCTTCAGTTGTGCCAGGGGAGGTTCAGGTTGGATATTAGGAAAAATTTCATAGAAAGAGTGGTGAGGTGTTGGAACAGGCTGCCAAGAGAGGTGGTGGATTCACCATCCCTGGAGGTGTTAGAAATGTGGATGTGGCTCTGAGGGATGTGGTTAGTGGGCACGGTGGGGATGGGCTGATGGTTGAACTAGATGATTTCAGATGTCTTTTCTGATGAGTCTGTGTGGCATGTGCAATAAGTCCCAGTTCCTACTACATGCCCAGCAAAGACCCCGGCCCACTGAGCCTTTCACTCCTCCACTACAATATTTCATCTGCTTCCCTCCTCCACGGTAAAGGGCATAATTCAGGTTTGTTGCATTCTTCCAGCTAGAGGATGCTGCTTCCTAAATGATAATGGAGTTCCAAAAAGCATCCCAGATTGACAACTTTTACTAGAACCTTATGTTTCTTGATTGTTTTAAAAGACAAATATATATCTTCTACTCCCACGTCATCTAGAAGGAAGGACACATTGCTAACTAAATGTGGCCAATGGTGGATAGCAGAACCTTGTTTGCAACTCAGCACTGGCTATACTTTCCTTCTCCAAGTTGAGAAACGGTGACAAACTCAATGGGTTCCAAAATTGTTCTGTGTTTTTGATTGTTTTGTTTCCTTAATGAAATTCAAAACTCCAGTATTCAAAGAAACTGCAGACAGCTCTAGGGAGAATTGAAAAAGAGGAGGAAAATTTTGTCAATTTTTATTTCCAGTTAAATCACAACAGAGACTGATGGCTATGGAAACACAATATGTCTACATGGATGTAGGCAAGGCACAAGAGACTAGAAGTAGAGACACTGTGCACTGGTGAGAGCTTAGGCACTTTTTATTGTTCCCCAGAAACCTCCTGGGATCTCCTCACCAAGATGTTCAGAAACAGCTTCAGAAGGGGCTCGGAACTTAATTCATGGCCTTTTTGCACTAGCTGCCACAGGGTTTATCTCTAATTTAGTAGATAGGAGGAAGTTGCTCTGCCCTCACTGTCAAACTAAATATTGCCATCTCCAGGCTTTGTAACAAAATAAATCATTTTGTCTTCATTCCTGGGGTGGCACAATTCAATTGTGGCCACCCTGGACATATGCCTTGGGCTTGTTTCCATCTTCATCCTTCATTAGCTGCCTGCTGGCAGGCCTGAGCAAACCTACGATATCCCCGATTAAGTTTGTCACAACCATTGAACAACACTGTAACTAAATGGCAGTGGT